AGTGTGCATAGTGGTTGTTACATTTCAAAGAAATAAGATAAATGTTCAAAGGAAGATAAATGTTTTCCATGAACAGCCTGGGAGTGCAAAATGAAGTATGGAAGATTAGAAAAAATAACTTATTCAACTAGTGCTAAAATACAGATCACAGAAAACAGATTTTAAAGAGCAATATATAAAAATATTAAATATTTCTTATCATATATATTAACACTTTATAATGCTGGACAGTTTACTACATTATTAAGTACTTTTATTCTTTCTGCTTTATTTGTTTTGGAAGCTCTTCTGAAATATCAGAGCAATCCTTATAAAAGTAAAATAACTGTTACATATCCTTTTTTTTTTTTTTTTAGTTTAATGCATTCTGAAACTTTTGAAACTAAGATCAACACTGAAAAATAAAACTCCTTTAAAACTTAGAAGGTTTTGAATCTCTCTTTCCCGGCCCACATGATTAAGAATACCAGAACAACTACAAGTGAAATATACATTTGAGCACATGTGTTGTTTTTTGTGAGATGAGAAAATTACAATGGGAAAGTCAATCAAGTATTTGCTATTTGCAAGTATAAAACCAGTTTCCATAAACTAACACTGTTAAATATTTACTTCATATAGGAAATATGATATATTATGTCCTTTGGTTAAATTATTCCCATGCTTTATTTCTATGGGTTTCATGAAATAAATAGCAAACTTGAAAGTAATAGATGAGATATGTTATAGTGAAAAGGCGATCATGGAAAAGCATAAGTAAACTGAAACTAAAATATTTGAAAATGTAAGTGCATAAATAAAGTTCATCAACATGTTTAACAAATTCAAATTAAACTTCACCATATCTTTCCAATTATATTTTATTACTTGCTAATTTTCTTTGCATTTCAGGGATAGGCAAATATAATAAAACACTAAAAAGTCAGAGAGTTATATATGCACCTTTTATGTTATTCAGTAGCTAATGGATGACCTTGTCCATCGGTTTCATGCAGATGTTGAATAGGATTGGGGATAGAGTCGAGCTATGAGCATTCCACATAAGAAAATTCTAGGGTTGGACCTCTCCTGTACCAACACTGACTGGAACTGGCTTTGGAGGAAGGAGAAGAACCAGTGCTACAGTGCTCCTTGCTCCCAACCTGCTCAGCTAGCCCAGAAGGATACAATGGTTGATGGTACTGAAGCTACTGAGAGACCTGGGAGGGCAAGATGAATGCATCAGCCCCAATGCAAGCCCTCCAAAGGTCATCCACAAGTGCAACCAATGCTGTCTTGGTATATGTGTCAGCCTCACCAAGTAGTTCAGACAAGAAATCAACTCCACAAGAAGGCTAAAGCCTTTTACTGAAAGGGGCTCTAACAACAGAATCTTACAAGTCTGATTGTGCTGTACCTTCTCCCTATCTCATATTCATATGAATTAGGGAGGTGTCTGTCTGAGCCTCTTCTGCATATTTTCTGCTTGTTCTGGACTTAAGAGATGATTTTCCCCTTGTTGCCTATCTCCATCAAGTTCATCCTCCTTACCCTCTACATTACTGTAACCCAGTCTGATACCTGACTGAAAATGATCCAGATCATTTGCTTCTTCCTGATCCCCCAAAAGCCATGCAGCTACCACCTTCTCAACAACTTTCCCCTAAAGGAAAGGTTGGAGATTGGATAAAAATTGTTCAGTACTGATGGCTTCTTGAGGAGGGGATGGACCATCACCTCTTTCAAAGCAGGTGGTTCTTGTATCCCCCAGAAGCCATGCAGGACCACCTTCTCCTTCAAAGAAACATTTCCCACTGTTTGAACCCAACTACATGCCACTTCCTGCTACTCCATACTGCTGCTACAAATAGCACCAAATATACATTTATTTAATAATTTCATTGTATTAAAAAGGAAATACTTACTAATATTAGATTTTTTACAAAACCAAAATCTCATTTTAAATTATAACTTTTAGTTTATCTAAAATTGAGAACAATTCCTTCCTTGATACTGTGAGGCATCTGTTGTGATATTCACACATTTTGCTAAGCCGTAATATTATTTCCTTCTTTGTGACAGAGTATTATTGTGAACCTAGCCAACAATGATTTATTCAGCAAGCCACTGTTAAGCAAACCAAGCTTAGCATGCTGTTTGTATCCAGCATGGAATCTTGGCTACAACGGATCAAAATAGCATCATGTCATTAGATTCTAACCCCCCCCCCCAAAAAAAATTGAAATCCAGTCAATGCTATTTAGCTCTTGAGCTTGAAGAATAAAACTTAAAAGTATCACCATGAGTTACCTCTTAAGGTTATAAGTTCCAACTGGAAGATATGTATCAGAGAAAAACTGACTACATATGCTTCTCTAGTGAGGCAATATGGAGGATGGGATATGATCAAGCAAAACAAATACTGAAAAAGAGGATTCTTAACATGGGATGGCAGCAAGATGTGGCACCAAGGCAACGTAAGTTTTGGAGGCTTGCTTTTACTACTAAGCCAACTGACTACTGCCAATCCTTAACAAATCACAGCATTCGCTCTAACTAGCTTTGATGCACTGTCCTCAAGAGTTATTGATAGTAAATACCAAAAGATTCTTTTCCATGACTGCCTCTGCCCACGTGACTCCTGCATCACAGAGGATGTATGACATGTCCTATTGTACTGGAGTTTCTACCAAGAGTTATGTGGTATGTTAATTAGGGTCCTCATAAAAGAACCCCAGCCAGAGATGATGACAAGTATGCCTTCTTTCTCCTGGCAGGTCACAACAGCACTGTTACTCACGAAATGCCCAAATTCCATCTGGCTGCTATGAGAGGCAGCAAATGTTGTCCAACACAACTACACTCTTCCCATATCGTTAACATTAATTTTAACCCCATCCCTAAGGGTTTTATTTCTTTGTTTTCTCCTGTTACTGTTGTTTTCATGAATTATGGGGAAATTGATGTATATTTTATGTATTAAAGCTGGTCTATGACTGTAATAAAGTTTATGCTACTATTCTCAGACTATCATTCAATCAACATATTTCTCCTCTGATCATTTGGAAAAGAGGTGGAATTACAATTTTAGTAGAATAAAGAGAATCTCTCCTCTCTATTACACCTTTAGACACTGCTTTGGCAAAGATAGGGACTGCTTCAAGAAACGTTATATTTTCTTATTGCATGGGAGCACAGATCTCAAGTGATGGAAAAAAGTTCAAAATACTTGAACTCTCTGGAAAAAATGTAAGAAAATAAAAGGTTTTTTTCCCAGACAAAGTTGACTTTCCAATTTAATCTACAGTTCTGGAATTTCCTAGTGATCTGCCATCCAAATACTAAACAGGCCTGACATTGCTTAACTTTAAGGAGTCAACCAAGGTCAGCTAGATGCTTGGCATTTACAACTACACAATATACAATGTACAGTAATCACATAAATATTGATTTAAAGTTGAAAAATATACTGAATTATAAATGAAAAATAAACAACACCTTTTTAATTGCACTACAGAAAAGTGCAAGAGAAAAATAGTAAACTTCTTAATATTTCTGGTTTGAACTAAACATGCTATTTTGAAGGTATCAAGAGCTCTGCAAATTAAATTGTATATTATTAATACTATAAGTAGCTTGGGCTAAACTATTATATAATAATAATAATAATAATAATAATAATAATAATAATAATAATAATAAGTGACCGCCCAGAATCACCCCACAGTGAGATGGGCAGTGACAAATTTGAAATATAAATAACAACAACAACAACAACAAGTAGCTTGAGAGCCAGTTCAGTGTAGTGGTTAAGGCATTAGAAACTGGGAGACTGTGAGCTCTAGACCCACCTTAGGCACAAAGCCAGCTAGGTGATCTTGGGCCAGTCCCTCTCTCTCAGACCTAAGGAGGAGGCAGTGGCTAACCACTTCCAAATTCTTGCCAAGAAAACTGCAGGGATTAGTCCAGGCAGTCACCAGGAACCAACACTGACTCGAAGGTAAAAAAACAAACAAACTAGCTTGCATGAGTTAATTTGTGGGGAAGGCATACATTTAATTTGTTTTGCTTTGTGATGGCTTAGCTCTGAAGACAGACAACACATTTCAGTTAAACTGAAGGTGTGTTTCATAACTGTTGCGTTACCGTGAAGTTCATACATCAAATAATGTTGACTTTTTCTTTTACTATTTTCAAACAAAATGTATGACTATTCCAAGGCAAACAGCAGGGTCCCAGTTTTTTACTACCAAGTGTAAATTTAACTCAGGACATTTCGATAACTTTTATTTTCCTTTCTTTAAAGGTATAAGACAGAAATTATAAATAAATGTAAGTCATGCATGTATCATTTTCTGCCCCAAATCACACTGGAAGCACATTTACCAAATATATGAATGAAGTAAAATGCTGAATCCAAATTTGTTTAAGTATTGGAATTTCAATACAATAATTTGGATCTGCATTTTATGTCTTTGGGTGATTACAATGTATATTCTCAAGATTCCCCAGCCAGGCTTTATTCCTTGCTCATTTATTGAGGGATAAGGATGAACATAATATATTTCTGCGTAAACACACGGATGATTGTAGCATTGGAAAGAGATCTAGAGATGTGATAAGAAATAATGTGACCTGCTAAAGATTAGCAAGAGCAAAGCTCTACTATTCTATCCATTTCGATAAATTTCTATAGTAATAGAAATAGTAATAGTAATACTCCAGTGTGTTTCTACGATATTATGCTTTGCTGTAATACCATACCCATGCGATTTGAAATAGTTATTAGAATTAAATGAATTATTAAATGTCTGATAACTTAATATGTTGATTCATATATATGGACTGGAAAGTCATTTGATAAAACAATCAGCATTTAAAATGTTCATATGGCTGTCTGAAGATCGTCAGCTGATAAAGTTATTAAGTTAAATATTTTTGAATAGGGTTCAAAAGTTTGAAGAAGGTTATCTTCAAATCCAAGATGGTATGATTAAGAAGAAAAAAAACAAACAACTTACCTGTATTCACCAAGAGTTCCATCATCTTCTTTCATAGGTTGTATTTCTGGATCACCATGTGCATCTTCCTTTTCTTTCACTAAAATGTACAAAATTGTGCCTTTAAAGATGCTATTCATGGGATCTAGAGTTAAATATCCATTAGAACAACCCTTTGAAATCTGTGAGACAATTTAACTTTGGCCTCATTTAACAGGCATGACTAAATTATGAATTGGCAAAAAAAAAGACTGAAAGACTGGAGATGTGTATCTGTCTGTCAGCCCTACAAGGTTGTCCACATCAGGAAAGATTCCACAAAAAGACTAGAACTATATGTTAGTAAGAAATAAAGCTATAATAACAGAATCTTGCCAGTCTAATTGTGCTTGCCCTTCCCTTCCTCTTATTCTCAGGAAGACAGGGGGAAGCCAGCCTGAGTCTCTCTGTAATACTTCCCTTTCACTCTCAGCTCAAAGCACACTTCTGTACCTGCTGTTGTCTTAATGCTTTCTGGACAGTTTCTTCAAGGTTATCTTCATGGCTCCCTCTATATGGCAAGTAGCAATTGTCTTGCTAGGACACTGAATTAGGTATTCTTAACTTCCACAATTTTTACAATAACTACTAGAAATGGGACAATAGTTGGATATCTATCAAGGATTGTTTAGAGTAAGTGCTTGAGATTTCCTCTTCTATCCCATCGTGTGTTGATCCTTCTATTAGTAGAGTGCTGAATGATTACAGCTGCTCAGATGCACAACACAACCAGCTGTGACTTGAAAGCCATACTGTACCATATTGCAAAGATTTCAATATTAAACTAAGCCAAAACCAATGAACTACATACAGGGTTACGATGGCAATTGGAACTGGGAACTCTGTCGCTAAGTGATGTGATTGTAAAGCGCAAAGTCACATGACTGCATTGCTTAGCAACAGTTACAGCAGTCCCAGTTGCTGTCTTTAAACAAGGACAATGTGGGTCGTTAAACAAGGACCTCATGTGATGGCGACTTCTGACTTCCTGCCAGTTTCCCCATCGACTTTGCTTGTGGGAAGCCAGCAGGGGATGTCATAAATTGCAATCACATGACTGTTGGGACACTGCGATGGTCAGAACTCTGGAGACCTGTCGTAAGTCCCCCTTATTCAACGCTGTCATAACTATGAATGGCCGCTGAATGGTTGTAATCTGAGGACTATCTGAAGTGAAGTCAAGAATACTTAAAGATTTTCTTTTTATATTTTAAAACTTAGCAGTAAGAGTAGAGATACTATATTTAAATAAAAATGAATATTTTCTCCTTTAAAGATTAAATCGAAAGATACGAAACTTACCTGGATATTTTCCACCTTTATTTCTCCTTATGAAACAAATAATGAGCAAAATCAAGATGAGAAGAGCAACTGCACACATAAGACCAATGAACCATCCTTGAGTAGCAATGTCAACCTGTCGACTTGCCTTTGCTAAGGATGGAAAAGAGGCATTTATTTAAACCAGTTCTATACTCTTATGAATTATTTTACATCACTAGTAGAAACAAGGTATTTTTGGCCTTTTAAAAGCATTTGGCAATTTTTAGTATTGTTGAACTTTATACATTTGCATTTTAAAATACTAGACATGTAAAAATGTGCAATTTTTCCTCTTATGGGATACTTAGCCTATTCTTCTAAGAAAGACACTTGTGGCAGTTGTTTTTGGTAATTGTCCTTTGATGCACAGCTGTACGCAAAAATAATTATCATGGGAACATTTCTCACACATTTTTAAAGAAGCTTTCTCTATGCACTAAATAAGGAAATGTGTGTAGTCAGTTTCCTATCCTTTTTCCTCAGAAATCTATGGCTTAGGGGCAATGTGGTCCATTTAGCGGGTACCAGTTACACACACAATGAATTTATGTTCATGTAAAAGAGTACACTAGAATTTCTAGTATAATGTTTATAAATTGCTCAAATTTACTCTGTTTGAAAAAGGAGTAGCATATCTTTATACGATATAAAGAGAACAAACGGTTTTTTGAGAAAGTTTTTTGTTTCTCTTTTAAAAAGCTAACCTTAAACAACATAATACAAACAAGGAATGTTTAATAGGTTAGAGCAATCTGAGCTTTTCCAAACATGCAGTTATTTGGTATTAAAAATACAGTGTCAAGAATTAAAAGAAGACATATACATTTTACATTCAAATGCAGTATGTAATGCCATGCCCACTATGCAAAACAGTACATGCTTAAGACATACCAATATATAATAAGCTATGGTAATAACTTACTTACTTACTTACTTATGGTAATATTGGACAGTTTCCAATATTTTTATTGCTGTATATTCTGCTAAAGGCATATAGGCTTCTATAAGCCAGTATTGTGTATTTAAATTACATGACTATGTGTAATTGCACTACATATATAGTCTGCTTCAAGCGCATAGGGTATTCTCTCTGAAAAACACAAAAGCTGCTAATATAGGCAAGTCAGATGAATTTATTCTACTGTGCTTACTTCAAATCAAATCATTACTAAAGCAAATGTTACACAAATCTTTTCAGAGACCGTAGAACATATCTTGTGAAACTAAGTAATTTTTAGAGCTTTTCCCTGTTTACTTCCAGTTAGAGATAACTGGAGAGTTAGAAAAATAGATGTTCATTCAGATCCAGAGATCAATGAGTTAAATGTTGCTCAAAGGATGCTACTACCAAAGAGAGGCAGGATTGATTCCTACTGATTCTTTCTTATTATGCAGCTTCATATGTTACCTAAAGAGTTGCAATAGTTTATGTACCTCTGGTATAATATGGGTTGGCTTGAGAAGAAATGGCCCATAAAACACTCCAGCCACTCCCCACTCCTCAATAACAAAACTTTGGAAAAACTCAAGTTTATGCAAATCTCAGAGAAACAATGGAGGGAGAGGAAGATCACTTCAACTATTCTATTTTCTTACTTTCCCTCTCTGAGTCTTCAAATATATCTACAAATGTCAAAGGGAAACTGCAGGTGAAGAAGACATCCATAAAGAGTGCCTTCCAACCTCCGGTGGGGGTTCACCTAGATCTCAGTCAGTTCCGCTCAGCAAAGAAAACTCTGGAACCAAATTGTTGTAATTAAAAGGAGTTTAGATTTTATATAATTTGATGCACACAGGATTGTCAGAGTCTTTCATATAGCTGAGGTACTACTGAACCCTTCTAAGGCCTGGACTGTTTTCTGGGTTTCTGGAAAAAGAAATTAAAAAAAAAAATGTTCCAGGCCTATCCAGATGCCCTGTTAATTCCAAAGTTAGCTTGTTCATCTGTGTCCCCCTGCCACTCTTTCAAACTTACTCCCTATTTTTTGTCCTGTAAGTTAGGCATCTGTAACAGTGTAAATGGAATGCAAAGGGTTTTGGGAGATGTACTGTACTTCTCTCATGCAAAAAGTACTCAACTACATTCAACAGTATTTCAGGCATAAAAATGCTGTGAGATAAAGAGGGATCAGACCTTTTCACCTACAGGATGTTTCAGTTTATAAAGTTAGTCAGAGCACAGCTTTGGATCCAACCCATTACTTGCAATAATATTTATATATTGAATGCAAATATACTTCTGTTCACATATCAAACAACCGATATACACTGCTACTGAGCACATGAAGTTGATGATCTAAAATATCATTTGCGTTGGGGTGCTGACCCATTCTTGATAATTTATTTTATCTTAAAAAATTAAGTTTATAGATATAACTCCATTTTATAAAAACATAGTGACACTATGAAATAGTGAATGAAAATATTTCAACACCATATACTACAAAACACTTCTATTAACCATATACTTTACAACAGAGGTAGGCAACTGCCAGATGATGCAAGCTCTTAACTCAGCTCTCTAGCATTCTGTCCTAACTTGCAATTTAGGGAAAGAGCCAGAGCAAGACAGAGAAGAGAGTGCCAGGTATCAAAAAAAAGAAAAAAGAAAAATGAATAGGTGGATAATCTGACACCCTTTTGCCTCTGGTTCCATCCACAACTTGCCACTATTAGCATATACTCCTACAGATTACTAAAAAAAAGAAAAAAGAAAAATGAATAGGTGGATAATCTGACACCCTTTTGCCTCTGGTTCCATCCACAACTTGCCACTATTAGCATATACTCCTACAGATTACTCCATAGGACATATGATAGAAAAAGGTTGCTCACTGATGCTTTATGAGAATATGTGACATTGAATAAATGCCATTCAAATATTTCTCATAAAACCTATATGCTTCTCTAAATATTATGTTTCAAGAGATATGAAAAACTGACACACAAAAAAGATTGTGAACAAATTATTCCGTACTATATAAATTATTTGTATGGTAGCATTCAATGAACTTTACATTTTGTAGAGGTTTTGGATAGCCTAATATTAGGAGAAACTACTGCTGGTGTATAATTTCTTCAGACTTAACTATTTTCAAACACGGTTGTATTTCATCATGAATCAAAAGCATACTATACAGAAAAAAATCATGCCAGCATCCCTGAAAAGGAGATATGAAAACTATGTCTTTTTTTTTTTAATGAATGGCATGGATACCCATGATGTGAACAAAAATGGGTTGGTGTAGCTCTGAGAGATACATTTTAAGGAGGCAAAGAATATGTTAAAATAAGTGAACATGACACTATTTTGAAATGTCAGCACTTAACACATCACAATTCTGAATGGAAGGCAGAATTGCATGGTGTGCCTCACCTGGACCTGTCTCAAACACAGCCTCTGAGCTCCTAAAACCAGAAAGACCCTCAGCACCAACCCGGACTTTATATGACGTTCCTGGTGTTAATCCTTTTAAGAGAAAGAAGCTCCGAGAACCATTAACATTTTCTTTTCTCAATTCTTCTTTGCCTATAAAATTTTTAGGAACACAACATTTACATTCATTCTTAATTTCATGTTGAGATGTCTTCTGCACTTCGTGATAGTTCAGATATTTATCTTAAAAATACTTTTTTCTTAAGCTAGAGCATCTAGAGAACTATGTTCTAAACATTATTTTATTCTTCATGCTATTCTTTAACAGTCTTAAAAGAACTGAAGTTAAATTTAAGTGTTCGAAATTGCCATAAAGAAGGCAACTGGAAGGGATAATAATTTTTAAAGCATTTTTTGTATATTATCACAGACATTTTCTATTTCTATTTAGATGTACTTTAGATCTCTTAAGCTCACCAAGCAGGAAAGGGAAACACAGTTCAAAGGACAAATTCTGGATGAACTTTTATAAACTACAGGTTTTGACTAGCTTATTCCTTTTCTTTATTAAGCATAAAAACAAGCTTCAAGTCAGATTGGCTTATAGCATCTTATTCGGATAAGATAAAAAGCTGAAGTTCTGTGCAGAGCTGTACACATTAGGAACCATTTCCTCATGTGGAAATTGGCAGACAAGTAGTGAGGTAGCAATTGTATATAACTTCTCAAGAATATCACAACTGAAGGAAGACCAAACGGCAGATACTCAAAGTCTTCCATTTCAGCATGCTGTATTTAAATATACTTCAAAACATATGTTGCTTTATAGTTGTCGGGTCTAAATAAATAAAATTATGTTATTTCAAGAACATAATGTAATGGCAAAACTAATATGAAGGGGTTTTAGTAGGACTGAATGTATTCCACAGTGAGCAGTTTTGTGTACTGCTAGCCAAACCATGCTAGGAGAGCTCTACCCACATACTCCATGTATATTTAGTTGGATCAAGAAATACTAGTTTAAAAGAAACAAGCCATTCCTTTCACAATCCAAAAGCTATGTATGTCTTTCAAGGGGCAAATAATCTGCTAATTTACTTCTTGGGAGAAAGAAAGAACTAATTCAGTCAGTCCTATTGTTTCTTTACCATCAAAATGACTTGTAGGGAAAGGCACACTGTATCAGACAGGAGTGTTTAAAGTTTTAGTAAGTGCTTTTGGCAGAAATCCTAAGGTAATACAAGAAGTCAGTGTTCTATTTACAGAGTTACATGCATGTTACTTCTACAATATCTCTGTCCTTAATTTTTAAAAGCAAAAATAACTTTGGAAAAGTAAATCAAAACTGGATCCTTTTCTATTATTACAATATTGGTAAATATAACAGCATTTAAAAGAATTCAATGAAATGTCTTCTTACTGCCTGCCACACCATATTCAACATAAATGTTCTCATGAACTGGACCCTCATATTCCCAACTGATATTGGCATAAGTTTCAGCAGCTGCTGCCGTAACATTTTTGATCCTTGGGTACACTGGCTGCACTGAATATACAAGAAAAAAAAGAGCAAAATATTAAAGGCTGCATGCATTTAATACAATCCAACTTCATTTATCTGAGTTTTACAAAATAGAATGGGGAAAAAAACAGCTTATTGTGAATTCTCATGTTTAGAAATTCTGCTTAAGCACAATTAAAACTATTTATCTTATTTTAGTTACCAAACATGGTCCTCCTGCAAACAGTATCAAGACAAACTTCCCCTCAACTCTAAAATAAACCCACCTATTCAGAATAAGCCCTTAACATAATCTGAAGCTGTGTATGTGGGCACACATGCATGTGATTTTGTGAACATGTATGTGTAATTACTGGCTGACTCTGGAATTACCGACAATGCACAATGGAATATTCCATGTCCAAAATTTACTTTTTTCCAGTGGCCTAGGATGGGATAACCTGTAGAAAGGCAGTGCAACCTGACCATTGTGAAATAAATGATCAAACAACGTATCATCATGTAAAATATGGATATGAGCCTTATTGGATTAAGTGACATAGAAATTGTAGCGAGTAAAAAAGTAGAATCCCAGATTGTAGTCTTTTACCTGGATTCCATGCATGAGCTGCCACTGTAGATACTGAAAACAGCAATATCATGCAGACAGTAGCTATAAACTGAATAGCCTTATACTGTAATCTATGAGAACTATAAAGGACATCAGTCCATCCTGATGCATGTTTCTCCAATGATTTTACAAAGCAAATTCGAAAGAAGGGAGGGAGGGAGGGAAGGAAGGAAGGAAAGGTTGCTAATTAGACAAGAGCTTTTGGAAATAGAAGACATGCTTTTAATTTTAGCTGTTTTAATAAGAGGACCATATTTGGTAGCCAAGAAAAGGTAATTACTTAAGATCTGTTCCATTGTGTACTGCTGGAGAATTAGTGACTCCAAGATTAGCTGACATAGTGTGCATGATATAACTAAATTATAACTAAATATAACTACAACCTTCAATGCAACATCTCTAAGTATATTTAATGAGATATTGCCAGATACATAAGCACAGCATTGAACTGCATGTCTGTCTATTCTAATGTCCAATTAAAAGGGATAGCTGTTCCTAAAACAATATTTGAAAGTGGAGGATTCTACACATTTATGAAAAAATGAAAAACATGCACACATTTTTCTTGTTTCATGCAATTCTGTAAATTTTAAATTTTCCTTTTAGAATGGTGCATTCTAGCTGTTTCTATGGAAGGTTATTTTGATAAAATAAATAATAATACCCTTATAAAATGTTGAAGGTATAGTATGCATGACAGATGAGGTTTCAAAAGGATTTTCTGAATATCCTTCATCCAACAAAGCAGCAAAAAAGAAAACAAAGAGGAAAAAATGTTGACATGGTAAATATGTTTCAAACAGCACATTGCCATCTACTCTCTTTAAGCAAATAGCACACATACATACATGAATTTCCATACAGGGTTTTTTGTTGGTATATTACATGAACAAAATGCTTGATAATAGAACAATAAATATCAAAATGAAAACAGGAACTAATTTTATAGCTTCTTTAAAAGACAACCTCTAGTTTTCTTCTAGCACTCCAAAGAATATTGCATGGAATCTTGTGCACCTGGGCTGTGCATCTGCTTTTACTTTACAAAAAATTCATGAGAGTTCCATAGTAGGCTTACTGGGAAAAAAAAGAATTGTAGCGCACTTAGGTAGAAGTGAATACCAAATAACAATACTGCTACAGTAGCTTCAGGTATGTTGAATTACAGTTTATCTTACTGATGGTTGACGAATGGTCTTAAAAAAGGAAATCCTTAGAATGTGAAAATGGATTTAGAAAGCATATCATGTTTCTCCCCAACTGTAGCAATCTGACTGGGAAACTTGAAAATGTTCTTTAATTTTATTTTTTTTTGCTTCTGAAACTAGTTTTATACTTTAGTACAACTTTGAAATATAACTTAAACCTGAGTTAAACATTGTAAAGTTAAGCCTCCTTTTACAATGCTGAAATACTTACAGTAGTAAAATTAAATTCTACTGAAAATGTTGTAAAAATAGATGCATACAGTCCAAATTAGTAATAAAAAACATGGGAAATATAGAATAATTTTCAGCTAAGGAAACTTGACAATTTTGCCCTAAGATTTTTAGACCAATTCAACAATTCATTGAAATTAATTACTTTTGTGCTTAGATCTGTTTTCTTATCAAAAATGGAAACATGAGTTTTTAGGGTTTTTTAGATTGCTGGACAAATTCTGATTTCTATCAGATTATCAAATTCATTTTATAATATACTTACTGAAAAATTACAGCCTATATTTAAAATAAACATTTTGCTCAATCACAAGATAATAAACAGATTTTCAGTGCTACTGAGAAAGAAGACAAAGAAAGATATGAACCAAAACGCTAAGAATGTGTTACTAAAATGAATATGAATTGTCTTGAAACACAGTAGTGCTTTTTTTTTTTTTTTGTCTTTTAGTACTTACACAAGCTGCCTGGAAGATTGTGAACAGAATCACTCTGCTCAGTCTAGCCATAATGTTCCTAACCTTGATCACTTTTACTAACCAGGATAATCTAGGAAATTAGATAACATAATAAAAGTTTTGACATTATCCTATTGAATGCCAGTTCAGTCTTAAAATTTATAATCTTGTAAGAGTTGAAATGATGCCCTAGTATACATCACATGGGGCAGGGACCTATATGGTTTCACTTCTTGAACTTTGACTATTCTTTGCCGGAGTGGTTCTGATCTAATGGTTGAGAAGGTAGATGTTGCTATAGTCCTTCAGGAATTTAAGTCTCTTCCCAAGACTCTTCTCTAAATCTTTGCTACTTTCAAGGATATTATGTTGTTTTGAACAGTCACGTGAAAATAAGGATTCTACTGGTGTATCAGCTGCCCTGTTGCCTAACAGCATCCCTGACTGAATTGACAAGAGTTGTCTCTTGGTCTTCAGGAGTCTTCAACATCCACATTGTGGTTACATGGGCATGTTACATGATTTTTTGCCTTCATGGGCTTTGCCCAGATTTTTTCAGAATCTACCCATGAGGTAACTTATAGTCTATACACTTAATCTTGTTTTTATCTTGGGATTCTAGACCTTGTTTCCAGACTGGTTTTCTTCCCATGGATGGATCAACTTCTGGAAACACACAGCTGGTGTAGCAAATTCCCATATGTAGGGGGCAAGACAGGATTAGGTTGGTCCACCCATAGAAATTAATGGATCAGGTTGTATTTCATGCAGCTTTAGGAAATGTTTTATTGAATCTGACCAACCAACCTATCAGTGACTCTCTCCTGAGCACTTATGGTGGATCCCAAGTGCCTTATACCTCATATCAGAGCCAATAGCACCTCATGATTGTGGCACAGATCTAGGGATGAACATAATTAGATACCATCTAGATGCCATTACAAAGTCTATGCTATGGTAATCATGGAGAAAAAGAAGTGGTGGGTTTCCTTCTGTGTTTGTGAAGAACCACCCGGTGGATTCTTTAGGATTGCTGAACAGTTGATAGACCCCTTGGTGGCCTTGGCTGGCCCAATGTCATCTTAACTTCATTGTGAAGAGCTTGCATGATTCATAGATAACATTTTTCAGAGTTCTATCAAGCATGATGGTACTTTGAGCATTGCTGTACCTAATATATCTAGTGCACTAATAACATTTGTTTGAGCCAGTTTCATTACTTCTCTTATGAGAAAATTTGAAGTTTTTGAAGTGGTTTGTCCCATTACCTGTCTGTTAAACTCCTCCATGGTCTGGCTTAGAAGAGTCCAAAGACTCTGCTCTACTAATGATCTGAGACTGATCATTTTCTGCAGCAGGTGGATTTCCCACCACCATAAACAAACAGTTGTAAAGTTGTTGCTCAAGAAAACATCTCTGTATCTGATGTGTTTTAACATCTTGAAGCTAATGTCCAGTATGTCATATTTAATCAAGATGATAGAGTAGACAGTGGTGTTCCCAATCTATGCTTTTTTAGAGGAAATGGATTAAATCAAGCTGTAGAGTTGTTGAAGGGTTAGACTTCAGGATTTGGGTGATATACCTGTTCTGTTTCACTGAAAAAAAAATCTTCTTCCCTAGAAGTAAGCTTTTGAATAAGCGCCTTCAGTTTTCTTCTTTTAACCAGGGTTACCTAGCCCAAATGATTTGAGCATGCATGGCATAGACCAAAGCCCAACACCAGATGAACAAAGAATGAAGGATTTTTATTGTAAGAAAGAAAACAAAGGAAATGGGTTGACTGCTTAAGGCTAAAATCAGTATACCGAAGTTAGCAATCGTTAACCTAAGCAAACAAAGAGACAGAGGGATAGAGTGGGAGTAAGATTACTACAGAGCTCAGCACGAGCAGCATGAAAAAGAAATAAAACAATTCTTCATGCATTTGTCTCTATTTTTCCTGACATCTTTAATTCAGTGGTTCTGGTTCTTCTACCATCCAGGAATATTACAGTTCTTCATTCAACATATAGAACTCAATTCTGATTTTGATCATTATTTTAGAATTTTTAAAGCTTACAGTTAGGTTCCAAGAGAAACCTAACCTGTTCATATGTCCGTTTTGTTCATAAGTCCAACCAAGTAAAAAGTACTGTCAAAAGTAAAAAAAAAAAAAAGAAGAAGAAAGGAGGCAGGAGCCATGGCAGCATTGTGGGCAGAGAAGCCCAGTCTTCTGCTGCCAATGCGAGAAGTGATAGCCTGCAGACTGTGGAGAGCGCAGCAGGATAAGCTGGTGGGATGCAGCACGCTCCACTGTCAGGCAAGGCAGGAGAGACAGTGGTAGCTCCCTGGGCAAAGAGGGCAGCTATGCAGGAGGCAAAACTGCTGGCCCTCTGCAAGGCCTTGCAGGAGGAAGGCTGAAGACTGCAGCCTCCCAAAGCGCGCTGTAAACTCCAATGCAAACCGCCAACCTGCCAGAAGGCGGGAGAAGGCAGGAAAGGGTTAGTTTGCAGCACGCCAAAAACGAACCCTTGCCCTCCTTTTCCTAACCTCCAGGTCCATCTTGTTTGTATCAGTGAAAGTTTGTAACTCGAAAGTTTGTAAGTAGGGGACTGTCTGTATATAATAGTATATTAGCAAGGAAAGAAATTTGAAAGAAATTATGGGTGTCATTAAATGTTGGGATCACTTTCTTACTTTCAATTAATAAACTATGTAAGCACGTAATGCCAATGAATTAATACATACTTTGGATAAACAGGCAAAATGTTAGCAATACTTAGCTATATTGATACTGTTTAGACAACATTTTCTAGCTAATAGGGTAGCAGGTGTTGCTTGACTGCTCCACAGAAATTTAGCATCCAGTTTTAAACTCTGAAGTGGAACAAGTCAGCATTATAGGAATATATGAACAATGAAACAAGAGAAATATCCTGGAAACCACTGAAGACGACAGAAATACACAACGCATTTGAAATGTTTTTATTAAGTTTCCTTTCTAGCAAACACTTTATTTATACACTTATTCCTTCCCTCTTTTCCTTGCACCTATCTATGCCCCCTCTGAATCTGTTCTGAAACATCTCCCTACAATTCAGAACTGATTTTTGAGCCTACAGAAAGAGCTACAAGAAACAGAAGTTTCATCAATGGAAAAGATTAACTGAAGAGGTTCAGTGTTCCCTCTTGTTACATTGCTATTTAAAAGAGAAGGCATAAAATGCATGCAATGTCAACTATTGCCTAGAAGGAAAAAAGATAAAATAAAATTCAGCAAGGCACTGCTATATTATTTGTTGGTAATTACATCTTAGTGAAATATTTCAGCAAATAAATTCAACCACTTAAGTATGTAACACATTTATTAATAAAATAGAAAGAAAAATTATATTTTGTTAATGAGCAGCTTAGGTTCTCTTTGAAACACTAATGTATAATTCTACAAGTAACAATCCTGTATCATCTGAAGAGCTCAATAACAGGCAGGAGGTTGTATGACCTCCTGATATGAGTACTGCTGAGCTAAAACTCCCAGCACCCTAATTGAACAAGGTGAGAAATATGAATTATAGGTCAACAATTGTGGAAGGCCACATGTTTACCATCTTTTCATTATATGAATAAGAAAACATATTGCTTGTAGCAGTTGCCATCCTTGATTAATCTGGAAGTTCCATAATCTTAGAAACAAATAGCCCATCCCAGCCTATCCAATTAGTGTAGCTAGAGCAAAGGGAAACAAAACAGTTATTGTCACTTAGTCCTTTCCAGTAAACTGAAATTGTTTTGTTCAACAAACAAAATTGTTTTGTTCAGCAAAAGATAGGGGGCATTACATACCCCACACAATATGAATGATACCTTTACAGCTAAGCGTGTAAAGCCCTCAAGGAAGATGAACTTGAGGGCTTTACACTTTGCACTTTCAGTTTTTATGTGGCGATCAACGGCACAATTTGGTCTTGTCAAGCTTATCAATGAAACTATTCTGATAGATAATGGAGAAAAATGAATGAGTCAGCATATACCATTCTGTTTTTTGAACCAGTAAGGGAAATATTATGTTAAGGCAATGGATAAATCCCTCATAATACTTTCTTTTCAGGAACTCTACCGTTTCTTTTTATCAGCAACTGCACTTTTTTCAATATAGGAAACTGGGAAAAAATCCACACAATCAGTGCTTAGTTTTACTTGCAATTATATCCAAGGAACATGAGCATAAATAGAGGAAAATAAAAGAACACTAAATTAGTAGATACACATTACTAGATACACAGAAGGACTATCCATTTATAGTACTAATCTACTCATTGATATTAAAGCATGAAAGCAAGCAGTTAAATGAAAAGGTATTGGAATTAGACAATAAGAAATTAACACTCATTGATTTGCAACAGTGAGTTTAGAAACAAAAAATAAAGTTAGTAGGCATGGATTTACTTTAAACTATAACTCTTTAACAGATTTAAATTTTTTAACAAAGCATTTCTTAAGCACTTAGCATTCAGTCTTACAATTTATGGATATGTAATTTTAGTGAAAACTGTCTCTCAAACTGTAGATAATGGGACTTACGTGAACAGACTGTAAGTAAGATTGTACTGTGCAAAACAATAATACCCCAGCAAAGGATATGCAAACACTATGCCAATTTTAGGGTTCTTACACTCAGACTATTTTAGTTTGGTTCTAATTGAGTATCAGAGCTTCCTCTTTTTGCATTTGCCAATGTGAGGAGGTTTTTGAGTCATGTATTCTCTGCTGCAGATGTGATACCGCAAAAACGTTTTACAAGCTCTCTTCATGGAATGCTTTCTTGCCATTGTTCAGGAACTTAAGGACTGATTTTGGCTTTAATTCCTATTGTGTGATACTGTATCAGTAAATATCCCAACTGATTTATTTAATTCCTTTAATTTATTAATAATTTATTTTATTCATTTAATCAATGTATTCATCCATTGGCTGTGTACAGATGCAGTTACATGGGGTTTTGTGGTAATTTTTTTTTTTTATCACTGTGGTTAATAATCTTAAAATGCACAGAAGTTTCTATCCTAATCTAAAAGATAAAGCAATAGGTAGGTCCAGCACTCTACCTTAGCACACAAAAAAGTGTTCTAGTGATTGGTAGATATTTCTCCCCAGAAAGAAGATTTATGCTCGCTAGGCAAAAGATGCGGAATTGTAAAAAACAAAACAAAACCCTTAAAGAAATTATGTTAGCCCTCATTTATGCTGCAGGCTAGTAGAGAAGGCATTGCCTGAAGTATGCAGGGGCACATTTTGATTGTTGAAATACTGTCACTCAATATTTGGGCTATTCAGCAGTTTAGATTTCGAAGCAAAAAGGTGATTTGGAGCAGAGTGAAGGTCCATACAGTGCTTGTCAGCAACTCTTGGGAAAACTGGCAAATACTTTAATGAATTTCAGACCAATACCACATGTGTACTTCCATGTGCTCCAAAGCACTGTCCAGCCTTTGAATCAATAGTGCTGCAGAGTCCTAGAATATGTCATAATAATAAGCTGTTTGCACTAGGCATTCAGAATTAGAAAACTGCTTTCGCATAGCACAGATTCCTTATAGCTATAAAAAAGATGATTAGCACATTTTCATATGTTTCCTATTATCAAATAATGTTTTTAAAAACTCAATAAAAATTACTAAAATATAATTTAATATGGCAATCAAAATATAAGCAAATATATTAATATCTCTGTTTCTTTTGGGTTAAACAGCTTTTTTAAATGTAAAAATTAGGATATATTGATATTTTAAGAGTACAAAGGGTCTGTAAAAATGAATAGATTATTCCCCAGTGTTACACTCTCAGAAAATCTGTGCACAATTACTTGAATTTGAACCTGAAGTCATCCCTTAGGCATGGAAGCCAGCTGGGTGACTTTGGACCAGTCACTCTCTCAGCCCAGCCCACCCCACAGTGTTGTTGTTGTGGGGAAATCAGGAAGCAGGAGCATTCTGTATACTGCCTTGAGTTACACAAATAAAGGTGGGATATAAATCTAATAAATAAATAACATAAATATTTTAAAATTATATTCTTTATACATACCCATCTTACCTTCATTCATAATTATTACTGCTTCTTCTGTTATTTGACTTCCAGCTCCAACTGATGTTTGTGCATAAAAATAGAACTTGTATCGAGTGCTGTAATTCAGGTTGCTTAAAATCAAGCTGGTCTCATTGGCTGGAATATTGATCTCTTCCAAGTGGCCTAATTCATGAGTACTATTAACTGTTGTTGTTATGTGGGATAAAAAATAAAGCTAATTTGGAAACACCTTCTGTATTTAACTACTGAATCCAAGTAACTTATGCTATTTGCTGAATCTTGGTATTGACATTGTGCATTAGCATTATTCACATACTATAAACTGTTTGAATGCATGTATGACATAGGCAGAGTAATTCTGCTTCTAAAGTAGAGCAAAGTTTTTGTTTGTGGTGAAGCTGTCCTCTGGCTTCCTACATGTATAGATTTCAAAGGCCTACAAAGTCATAATTTTGAAAGTAACACGTACAGCATATTTGTTCACTTAAGTAGCTTTCTAACATCTGAATGAATGCTATCACATCTCCTCAAGATATAATGCAGGTTAGCAGCACCAAATATCAATGGTAACTAAGCAAACTTTGTGCATTTTCTGCACCTTCTGTCCCCAAGGCACAATGCATACACTTTCCTCTGAAGCAGAGAACAGTCATATTTTAGTTTTTACAAGGAAATACTGTGCCATCTACCTTCCATGTTATTTTGCATAGTAATAATACAGAACACTATGAAAGTATAATTTAACACTGTTCAATTCCAGTTCTTAAAAACTGGTTTCTAGATTGATTAACCAATCAATCTAAAAAGGTACTACTAATTATTCAATAATGATATACTTTGGGGACTGATTTTTTTTTCTTAAGGTTTACTTACTTGGTTGAAATTTTAATGTGTATCCTACCAGAACACCATTTGGATGAGAAGGTGGGCCCCACTCCAAAGTAAGAGAGCCCAGATTTTGATTAGTAATCTTCAAAAAAGAGGGTGCACTGGGAACTTTAAAAAAAAATTAAAAAAATAAAGTTAATTAGTTCTAATAAAACTCAGTATTATAAAAATATTTTAAATGTTCCTTTTAAATTCTCATCACATTTTATTTAATACCATACTGATAATTGCTATCTGTATAACAAGTATATAAACACAGCTTTCAGACCACATGTGAATTTCCTAAGATTTGGATGCAGCTTCCAGAACTCTTTTGAAAGTCACTCATCACTACTGATATGTGCCTGAATTCTGCAAATATGTGATTGGACTGCCATCTGCAAAAGTCAACTAATAGTGCTTCATTCCCTCGTCTGACTAACTTACTGTTAATTTCTCTCTTCCTATTTCCATTCCTTGGTACCTCAGATGTACTAAATATGTTACGTGTGGCAGACATGAATATACTGTCTGTCTAATATGCCTTAGTCCTTCCCATATGCTGCCCCAGTATAACTGCAGAAATGTAGCCCTTGCCTGTAAAAGTTTACATATCACTTTCCTATATATTAACTGTATCCATATTTGCTCATATCCCATTGGTAATAAGTATGTTAAAAATCAGAGACAGGTTTATTATGTTTTTTTAATATCAATGTATATACTGCCTTAATGAAAATGGTCAAGTAACACTTTACTCACAATGTTAAATGTAAATATCTGAGTACATACCTCCTTCTGGAGTTTTAAACGTTTCATCTGGGCTTGGTGGTCCTTCTCCTTTCCCATTAAACACTCTTACATTCAGCTTATAAGAACTATAAGGCTCCAGTCCTGGCACCATTCCATGTGTTCTATTTCCACTGAAAGTCAACATCCTTTTTTCTACATGCCGCTTAATTCTTCCAGATAAATGTTTAACTTTCCAATAGTAAATCTAAATATATATAGATATAAGATTTAAACATTAATTTATCCTGTTCTGAGTTTGCATTATATTATGATCACTAATACAGCCCAAACATATTTTGAGACAGGCAATTTAGTGTGCTACATCCATAATAATATTTTTAAAAATAAGCACCTTAAAATAATTCAGTTAATGGAAATCCATTGATTTAATAGGTCTTCTCTAGATGTGACTATCCAATTGAGTGATCTTAAGTTATCTGTACAAAGCCATATCAAATAATTAATATATTAGAGTACTGTAGTATTTGAGTCAGATAAACTGCATTCAAATCTGTACTCAGGTATGGAAGTTATTAGCTGACTCTGGTTTAGACTGTCTCTTAGCATAATCTATTTCACAGGGTTGTGAAAAATTAGAGAGGGAATACTATAGGACTCTTAGGAAAAGTCTAGTCTAAATTAAATACATAAACAATCATCATGATACAAATTTTATTGATTTTTTAAATGCAAATTCAACCCAAGATTAAGCATTGGTGTAAGACAGAATATAGAATTGATGTTACACACTTTACAGGAAACACTTAAGGGTAAGTAGTAACAGCAGTCAGGCTAAAAAGTGTTTCTAACAAACATCAACTAATAGCCATCCTCATAGACAGAGAAACAACATACTGGGAAGTTATATAAGTAAGTAAATAAACAAGTAAGGAAAGTTCTCACCCAATACATCTGTGAATATTTTTATACTAAATGCTGTTTAAGAAATTTCTATGATTCACTTACTTTATATCCCTGAAGATGACCACGGACAAACTTTAATGGAACTGGATCCCACTGCACCTTCGCTAATGTACTGTTTACAACTTGTACTTGTAAATTGCCTGGAGCACTCATTGGTACTGACAAGACACAAATGCAACAAATCTCAGTTTAGAACCACTTGTATGTATTTATAAGCTACTTTGGATTTCACAAGTGTAGAAAATTAATTCTGGATCTCTGAATTTCTACCACAATATTATTACTACTTGAAGCCTCAGAGAAGTCAGCTAACACAAAAATTAATAAAATTAATAAAATTTTATTTAAAATTTTATTTAAAATTTATTAAAAAAATTAATAAAAACTGAGTCAAAGTAAGAAACTTACAGTCTTCCCCAGAATGTCCAATTATTGTTATAGGCTCAGGTGCAGGTCCTAAGTCATTTAATGCCTGTACTTTTATCTCATATGGAACAAAGACTGGAGTATCAGCTACAATATATTTAGATACATTTGCAACTATAACAGATGTCCATTCATCTTCGCCATCATTCTGCCGCCAACTGACTTTATACCGAAGCCCTGGACCATTGGACTGAAAATCTGTTAAAGGCTAAAATGAAAAATAAACAAAGGTATGATTTTGAATTAGCCACAGAAAAGAAGATAAAGATAATATAAAGTTAATGGTTTTGTTCTGAAGATCACTAGGAAGTGGTGATTTAATCAGAATTTGCTCTCGTATTCATGTGTGGCATATACTTTAAGGAATCTTACTAATTTAAAGACTCTTTACCTTGCTCTTTGGTTAAAAAAATCTCAAAGTGGTGCTCACACAGGACAACAATAAGTGAAATGCTCTCTGGCATCCAGTCCAAAAAACATGCTATAAAAAGGAAAGGGACTGGAAAGGACTGAAAAGGGGTGGGGGAATGACAAAATCAAGTATTACTTCTTTCTATAATCTTGTACTTCACAGGTAACATAATGAAAATAAAAGTACTCTAACAGAACAGCCTATTTGTGATATAGTTGCATTGCAGAATGACAAGGAATTATAAACTGAAGAGCTATGGATTGGTTTTAAAATATACATAATGTAAGCTGTATCTTAGTCATGGGCAGTAACAATAAAGCTGTTCCTTTGTTTGCTTTAGCACTACCACTAGAAATACTACAGCAGCACACTAATTTCAACCCCCTTTGGCATATTTGGTTCTAAATATATACTATATTGCTTTATAGCAAATTATACAGTAGTGTCATCAGATAAAACAAGCAGCACGGGTTGAGTGATGTTAATGGCATTTCAATGGGGTTCTTATACAACAGTAAGTCAATCTTTAAAACAATGTTTTGCTGTTTGTTGCTGTTTTGCCATACATTTAAGAAAAGGGAACACTAATCATATTGCTTTCACTATTTATATTTAAAAAAAAAGCTTACCTTCCAAGTGATCACTAAATTATTAGGTTCTGTTCCAATCCCTTGAGTGCCAAAAGGATTGTCATCTGGTTCTAGAAATTTAAATTTTTATATTTAAGTAAACCTTAGGCCACAATAGTTGAATGCTATTTATATTCTAAATATATAATGGTGTTTATTTACTTGCAGATTTTGTAAAGTATTGTTCAGAAGCTTCACTGGGTTGGCTCCTTCCAATTTCATTGACAGCTATTACACGAAATGAATAATTTACATATGGTGATAACTTTAACTTTACAGTTGTGAACATGCTAGGGACTTCTGTCTGGTAATTCCATATTCCTGGTTCACGCAGAGCATCTTCATATTCAATAATAAACCCTGTAAATAAAATGAAAATAAATTTTGCTTCATAAATCCTTATTTTCCTCTCATATAACTAGCCAAGTACGCTTCTTTTTGGGATAAGACTTTTCTATGCCAAGTGTGTTATAAATGCTTGAAAATGGAAGATTCTGAAGGTCATGTTTTCCTTGAAAACAACCAGACTTTCCAGAATTGGACCTTGCCACACGAATGGGAAAAGACATTCAAAGGTAAGATGGAGTGTAACAAAAACATGGGACAATATTTCTGGACAACAGTGTCAAGTTAAAAACTGGATTAAAAAAGTAACATTTAATGTGCTTTGATACAGAAAAGTAGAGGGTGCAAAGAACAGAATGCTAATAAAATAAATTCAAAGTGACCGGTATGACATTCCAAATAAATAGAACAAAACATACTTGTAATGGGGCTATTATTTTCATTGCCCGGTATCCAGGTGAGTTGAATATTTCTTTCTAAATGATCTGTTAATTCCAAATCATAAGGTGGATCAGGACGATCTGAAAGGGAAGTAAATAATTGTTACATTCGAGGAAAAATTTTGAACAAGCTTGCTTACAATATGATTGTGTGACCATTGGCATGCAACTGCAATGAAAATGGACAACTGATTTTGCTGGGAAACAATGGAGAAAGAAGGCAAATTATTACAAAAGTTCCAATAACAACATTTCTTTTGTAATAACATTTATTTTGCATTACAAAGTAACAATAACTGAAAAATTTAGAATTGCCATGGTTCACCAACAGTTTCAGTTTATGAGATGTGGCAATGACTACAGCACTATTTTATGTAAAAACATATATCCCTTTACATAAAACAGAAAATAAAAAGACATTCAATAAAATAATTTTAAAAAACTGTTTCAGAATTACATAATTATCAGAGTCTCTACACTGGCATGTTGTCCTATCTTAGCTCACACAGACTGAATGCTCTTAAGTCCCTGAGAAACAGGTTTCTTTTTTTTTACCTCTTTCACAGTCAGAAATCTATTTTTGTTTAAAGTCTGAAGTACAACACGAGTATGGTGTTTTCTTACAGAAGAAACAGGTGGAAGGCTGCGCCAGCACTGCCAGTGTGAGTCTGTGAGTGTGTGTGCTAGTTTTAAAATCCAACAGAAAATGGGAAAGGTGATCTACATTCTATACCCTAATTCTGATTCTGGTAAGTAATGACAGCCTATCAGTAGAATTCAGGGCCAGGAAAGATAATAAAATAACAGTTTTTAAAAGTCATGCATTCCTTGTTAGATTCTTAGATAGACAGACCTTTGAAAGGTGACAGAAAATTTGTAAAGATAATAGTGCATAGATGCTCCAGTTACTGGAAATGTTATTTAATTATAAAAGAGGTTGAATAAGAATCTTACACATTTAGAAGGAAGATGCTGCTGCTCATAAATATCTTCCAAATGTAAGAAATTAAAGATTAAATGAATGCTAGATTAAAAAGATAGATTCCCTAAAATTAAGCTCAACCCTTGGTGTCTAACAAGATGAGGGAAAGGGTTTTTTTTTAGTCAACTTGAATTCTTGGTGACTTCATACAGACGGTTTTTTTTGGTATCAGTAGTTCTTAGCACAGAAAAAGCTAAGCTTTTTAATATTTCTTTAAAAAAACCTACATAAAATGTTCTACTCTGATAGTTATGGAGAAGTATACGAGCAACCAAAAAGTGAAAATTCTTTGCTCATCAAATGCCATAATGAAACTGAAATAATGGCACTGATAACAACAATTACCCCAAACTCATTCCAAACTGCTAAGATAATGTTCAAGAATTGTGCGTCTATGACTAAAATGCTTAACAAATTAAAACTGAAACTTTTGTTTCTTAATTAGGGAAAAATGGTTGCAAAGAAAAAATATATTAAGTGTATAAATCTTATAAAGAGGGTAATGACAAGCCCAGGTCTGACATAACTTAGTACATTTAATACAGCAGCATACTGTGGACTTAATTTTGGGCAGAAACAATATTCATTTTTAAAATCTTCCATTCCATAGCAATAAACTACTAGCAGTCCATAAAAATGCATGCTGAATATTATTTCACTAAGAAATTGGAAGATACTTTAAAAACAATATTATGCTAACTATGCTTAACTTAAATGATAAAAAGCAGTTGTATGTTACACAATTTTTAGTAACTTGTTTAGGCAATTATTTGAGAAATTTATACTGAACACAAGTTTGGTTCAACTATAATAATGAAACAGTTTAAGCATTTCAGTCATAAATAATAATGGCAACACAATATTAAATTCTCATCAGATTTAACATAAAATTATAATAAAAGAAAAAGAAAAAGAGAAAGTTTCAATCTGAAAGAAGCAAAAAGTTTAGGAATGTTTGGTACATGATGCAAGCAAGACTTATTAGTTTACCGTAAACAACAGGTGGAGCTGTTGGAGGAGCTGGAAAAAAGGATATTAATATAAACTATATAAGCTGTGTTAGTAGCCAGAAAAAAACTAAACATTGAGCAATCATGTTATTATTACAATGATTTGTTATTGTAAAAATGTAATTATTTTATTTGCAAAAATATAAGTGCCTAATATGCACTGAATGGAAACACCACCACCAAAACCTCTTTTATCTGAGTTCTGAATAACTTTGCAGACAGTTGACAGACTATAGACTTGTCATGTTGAAAGGCCATGCAGTCCAATTGCCTGCACGAAGCAGTATTCCAGACAGATTACTGTCTAGCATCCATCTGAACACTTCCAATGATGATGAGTCCACATCTTTGGGTAACTGGTTCCACTGTTGAAATGTTTTCACTGTTAAGAAGCTTTTTTCTCCCCTGACATTTGACTGGAATCTGCCTTCCTACTACGTAAGTCTACAATTCTGTACCCTTTGTTCCAGAATATGAGAGAACAAGTCTTGACCTACTTTTGTGTGTCATACTCTCAGGTATCTGAGGAGTGCTATCATATTCCCTCCCCGCCCCATCAGCTTTTCTCAAAACTAAACATCCAGAAGCCAATTTCTCTTCATAGGATAATGCCTGATAATTCTCATTGCCCGCTCTAAACCTGTCCCCATTTCTCTGAACCCTTCTTGAAATATACTGACCAGAACACAAAACAGTACTTTAAATGGTCTAACTAAAGCAAAAGAAAATAAAGTGTCTGATTCCTGCAATTTGGAAATTAGATTTCTGTTGATGCTGTCTAATGCTGCATTTGCCTTTTCTATTCTATTCTTTTCTTTTTTGCAGCCAAGACTTACTGCTGGCTTATATTGTTTACAATTACTTACTACACCAATATCTTTTTCACAAATACCATCACAAAACCAGGAATCTCCCATCCTATACAGATACATTTGATTTTTCTTACCTAAGTGAATAATTTTCCATCTTTTTCAGCTAAATTTCAATCTGTAACTTTCAGCCCATTTCTCTAAACTCTGAAAATTTTTTAAAAAAATTATTTCTACCCACCAGATTACCTATCCCATTCAGTTTTATGTTATCTGCAATTTGATAAGCATTGCCCCAAGTTTTTCAACTAGTTATTAATGAAAATATTGGCAAATTCTGCAAAATCAGAATATTTTAATCTCCTTCAGAATAATCCAACTAAGAAAATGACTCAGTTAAAATATTGAACCATAACAGGTATTTTTATGGAGAATACTGATATTTTGTTTCTCTCATTCTAATCATGATATGTACACCTCCAAACTTTCTTGCAATCTGTCAAATAAGGCAATTAAGTGCATAGGTCTTTGTGTGTTAGTTCACTGCTTATGAAGGATTGTACTTTTCCATAAAACTTTGTAGGAGATCCTTCTACAAAAATGCTTTCTAATTACATATAGAGTGTTAAAGTTAATGTAATAATGTCTACTATGTCAAATACAAATTCTACGGAATTCAGATATTTTTAAAATCTTTTTCTATCAGACACAGGTTATTTTTTTTAACTCTACAAAAGAAGAAAGCTAATTTATGATATCACATTATAAATAAAGATACCTGATAACGATAGGCTTATGTATACCAGAGCCATGGAAAGCAGGCATGGAAAGAAAATCTACATATACAAAGTCAGAACTGTATTTCTGTTAGGTAAGGTCCATATGACAGATATTCTGAAGCCTACTGTGTTTTCAGGCAAGCATATAAGAAATTACCCTGTCCTGTTTGGTAGCTTTCTAAAACACTTTGGGTTTAAACCTAAGATACCATTCTAGTAGCAACTGAAAAAATATTTTGGTTTAATTTATGGGAAATCAAAATAAATTATCCTATTTTTAAAATATTCCAAAGCTATTATATAATAGCTTAAAATCAGTTAACATTTTCACAATAATACAACAGGTTTGCTTTTGCTTTAATTCTACATTAAGAGAAATCTTACCCACAACAGTGAGTACAGCGCTTGCAGAAACACTATCCAATGTAGTATTAGCTATGCAAGTATATTCTCCACCATCTTTATCAGTGACATTCATAATGGTCAAGTTGTATTTACCCACAATAAACCTGTAATTACAATAGATTTAATTATTCCCTTATTGCAAATAATTCTAAATATCTAATTTATTAATTGTAATAAATCACAATAACATCTTAATATAGATATACTTGCAGCTTGACAGCAGTTCAAGGAAGAATCAGAAAGAGAAGCAAAACTGGATGACTACAATCAGTTACAAAACATTAAAGAAGATACAGTGGAATTATGAGATCAGTTAGAACAAAGGCAGAATAACAAATGTAGAGAATTTTTATTTATTTATTATAAAGATTTGTTGGCCATTTAAGAACTTTCTGATAAGCTGTGAGGGATTTCTGTTAGCATTATAAGTTTAAATATTGCAAAATAAATTAAACCCAACTGTACGTTGAAATTTACATTTCTCAGACATTACTCAAACCAAACCAAAACATTCAACGACATAAATTATGGACAAATAACAGAGGCATCTGCCAGGGTGGTGTGTCAAAGGGGGGGAAATGAAAAAAGCAGTAGTACCACCAGCTCCACCCCCTTTGTATGTGTGTCATGACATCACACTCATTTATGAAATAAGTGAAGTTTGCATCAGAATGGCACAAAACTGCTTTTGTAATTTTGATGAAAGCATCAGAACCTGAAATTGCCTCTGACAGGTAAATACCACCATCTTCCCCATCCCCCATTTTTATTTCTCTACATCTTCCATGCAGCACTTGGTTGTTTTCCATTTTTTAAAAACTTTATCTCATGCAGTTTGCTGTTTCTTCCTTCTTCCACTCTCACACTCTTTTCAATTCATTCCTGCCATTTGAGCAAGTTCCAGTGTTAGCTCCAGTAGCATCTGTGCTCTTAAATTTCCCCAGGGTTTTTCAGTGTTTAAGCAAAGATACACACCTAGGTATCTTTTAGAAAAATGAAGATGATGGGTACAATCATCTCAAGCAGAATACATTTCAACTTAATTTAATTATAGGGTATAGATGTTGTTCTTTATCTCTGTAAGAACTGGTTCCTAGATTGAGGCCATTTCAAGACAGCTTTATGTAAATTACCAGCTGCAAACTTTCCCATTATCAATGAAAAGACCAACCTCTGAGCTAGTTCATAGGAAGACTGTTAGAAAGAAACCAGAAAGATAGACAGATTTTAAAACATGGAGATGGTCAGGTTCCTTGCCACCAGCTTAAACAGAAAGTTCCAAACACAAGTGATCTATTTTCAATTTAGGATAACTATATGTTCATAGATATAGATACAGGTAGTTATCCTAAATTGAAAATAGATCACTTGCTAAAATTCTTGCACACCTATTCCTTTCATTTCAATAAATCTTGCTAAAGAGAACTTTGTGAGAATTGTGCTTGGAACTTTCTGTTTAAGCTGGTGGCAAGGAACCTGACCATCTCCATGTTTTAGAATTTATTTTATATTTAAAGAGAGTGATATTTAAGAATAAAATAGCATTTTTCCATTGGCTTTTGGCCTTATTTACCCAAAAATAAGTCCCATGATTAAGAGAATGGTGTACGGGTAGTTCTCAAGTTATGATTATTTGTTCAGCGACCATTCAAATTTACAGTGGTGCTGAATGAAGGGACTTACGATTGGTTCTCAAAGTTCCAGCCTTTGCAGCATCCCCATGATCACATGAACAAAATTTGGGACCCTGGCAACCAGCTTGCACTTACGACCAGTTGCAGCATCCTGTGGTCATGTGATTGCCATTTGCGCCCTTCCCTGCCTGCTTCCCCCAAGCAAAGTCAATGCTTGGGGGAAGCAAGTCACAAGTTGCTACAGTAAGTCTCCCTTCCCTTTTGCTCGCATTCACTATGCCCTCCTTTCCCCCTTTGCTCGCACAGATCCTGCGCCCTTTCCTTGGCCTCCCTGCACTTTCACACACATATGAACACACCTCATGCCCTTTTTCTATGGCCTCCCTGCAATCTCACAAATGCATCCTGTGCCCTCTCTGTGATTGTACACACACATGCACATACCCCACACCCTCTTTCCATGGCCTTCCTGCCATCACACTCACCCTGTGCCCACTTTCCTTGGCCTTCCTGCACTCACACATATGCATGCCCTCTTTCCACAGCCTCCCTGCGATCACATGCACCCCAAGCCCTCTTGCCTCAGGCTCTCTGTGATCGCACACACACATCCCCATGCCTTCTTTCCACAGCCTCCCTGTGATTGCAGTCACCCTGCGCCCTCTTTCTCCAGCCTCTCTGAGCTCATGCTATCCCAAGTACCCCCTCCCCCAACTCACGCACAGTCTGCGCTGAACCTCCCAGAGCCTTCCCCATTCCCCTGCGGCACCCTCACATTCCTTACCTGGTACTCCCTCCACTTCCTGTTTAACAACCCACGTGTCTTGACATTTATAATGTCAAATATGGTTTATTAACCATACCTGCATTGCCACTGCTAAGCGATGCAGTCATGTGACATACTGCTTTAAAACCGCATGGCTTAGTGACAGCAATCCCAGTCCCAACTGCCATCGCAACTTGAGGATTACCTGTATCAAAATTTGGGACTTGTTAGTCTGGTTTATAAATAATAGAGAAACAAAGGTAGTACTACTAGCATTCAGAAAGAAAGAACAGGAGCAAGTTGCTATCAGAACAGGTAGTCCTCAGGTTACAACAGCAAATGGGACGAGGATTGCCGTCATCAAGTGATGTGGTTGTAAAGCGCGACATCACATGACTGCATCACTTAGCGACAATCCCTATTGCCATCGTCACCCCAAGATGTGTGAGTTAAGTGGGAAGCAGTGGGAGTCCCAGGTAAGGAGTACAGGGGTGCCATGGTAGGGAAGAGAAGGCTGGGGGAAGCCCAGCACAGGCTGTGCATGAGTGAAGAAAGGCCAGGAGAAGGAGGGTGCAGTGCAGTGTGAATGAAGGGATGCCGGGGGAAGCAGGGTACGGTGCTGCATGAACGAAGTGAGGCCGGGGGAAGTGCCAGGGTGCAGCGCTGCACAAGCAAAGGGAGGTTGGGGAAAGCAATGCACAGTGTTGTGCAGGTGAAGGGATGCTGGAGGAACTTATTGGAGCAATCTATGGGAAGCTGGCAGGGAAGATCACAAATAGTGATCATGAGACCACAGGGTGCTGCAACCATCGTAAGTGTGAGCTGGTTGCCAAGCGTCCGAATCGTGATCACATGACTGCAGGGGTGTTGTGACAGCTAGAACCTTGAGGACTGGTCGTAAGTACCGCTCGTTCAGTGCCATCACAACTTCGGTCACTGAAAAAGTGGTTGGTAAGCGAGGACTACCTGTATATGGAAACCCTTTTCCCCTGTTAACACAGTGACTTATTTATTATTATCGTTGTTGTTGGTCAAACAGTCAACCAGATGCTTAGACTGGGTTTGGCATTTTTATCCACCTATCGAGTCCTTCCCAAGGACCTGGGATAGGCAGATGTGATTTTGTCAATGCCGATGGTGTTCAAGTGGTGCTCCAGATGTTTTGGGATTGCACCTAAGGTGCCTATAACTATTGGTACTATTTTTGCTTACTTTGCCATAGTCATTCTACTTCTATTTGCAGGTCTTTATTATTTTGTGATTTTCTCAAGTCTTTCTCTTCTATTCTGCTGTCTCCAGGTATTGCACTGTCCACTATCCAGACTTCTTTGTCTTTCCTATCAACAATTGTTAAGTCTCGGGTGTTATGTGGCAGGGGCTTGTCTGTTTGAATTCTAAAGTCCCAGAGCACTTTAGCTTCTTCATTTTCTTTTATTTTGTGTTGTGGTCCCACCAGTTCTTGCTTGCAAGCAAATGGTACTTCTTACAGATATTCCAATGCACCATTGTTGCTACTTCATCATGCCGTTGTTTGTAGTCAGTCTGTGCAATCTTCTTGCAGCAGCTAACTAGGTGGGCCACTGTTTCTTTAGCTT